TTGACCCCAGAGGTTTTGTTGGAAAGAAAAATACCGCTGAAGCTAATGCTTTCCTTTGCAACATGCTATATTAAAATAACAGCCAGAGTACCTTACCCATACCTGTAGTTTTCATGAATGAATAGCCTAACTGTTCTGAGCAAGGCTTCCGAGACCGTAATTGTGCACACGCTTATTTTAAAAACAAGTCTTGTTTTATTGCAACGCTGGGAATTATTTGCATTCCCAGCCAGTAATGAATCTCAAACAGTCCCTCGAGATAAGCACCCACCTTTCTTTCCTGTGAAGTGCTGCCAATAACAGAAGTGTCAAATGAACTAGACAAAAAACCAACTGAAGTACAAAGAGCTTCAAGAATGAATCTGAACCGAACGAACGACTTCGCTTCCTGCAAAGGTTTCGTCATCTTGGCCTGTCCTTTATATCTTATGGGAGGGGCAATCCCACCTCCCAGCCTTGCTCCCGAGTTGCCCCTTTTGTTTCAGCTGCTCTCGTCTTCTAGCAGCTCTGTGCATACACGCACTGGGAACAGGCTCCCCTGGGTCCTCTGCCTCGCTGCTGCCAGGCTCTGAAGGCTCTGGAGCCAGCACCCTACTCCCAGATGGTCCTGGCCCCATCCCTGCATTGGACGCAGGACCCTTGTCGGAGTCCTCCCCAGACTCCCGGACTGATCCCCTTTCTTCCCTACTGTCAGATTCCGTCTGCACAGGCTGCTCACAAACCACAACACCTAACTCTGCACATCGCTGGAGAAAAATAGCTTGACCTGCTAAACTTTAGTTATTGATTCGGCTTCCCAATGTCCAGCTCATCAACATCTGAAGGTTCATTACAAGATGCTTGAATGAACACGTCACTGCTTGGGTATTCTCCAGAGAGCAGGGGTCTCCAACCTTAGCAAAGCTAGCTGGGGAATTCTGGGAGCTGGCCCCCCCAGACTTAAAGTTGCTAAGGATGGAGAACCCTGCTGGCTAAGGAAGGTGGGACTGATGATCCAGACTCGGGGGGGGGGGAGATGACCCTGCTACATCTTAATGTTTCTGCCACCTCTTTCACAGGTGGATGAGGGAGTATATCATAATCACCTCCTGGAACTTAACAACTTGTTAAAAGAACTAACTCTTGCCGATACCGAAAATACTGGCCAGTTGACAGAGGAGCAATTCACGTAAGAGCCACTGTATAGCTAGCTGCACCTGCAGCAGGACAATAAACCAGATTTGGAGCCCTAAAAATATGCATATATTTTAAACTGATATACAGTGATGTTTGGGGGCTTTAATATTACAAATATTGAAACATATTTCAAATATTGAAACACATTTCAAATATTGAAACATATTTCAAATATTAAAGAATTTCAATACAGTTGTCTGTCCCCTTTTTCAAAAAGCTAACATAAGGAATATTAGCCCCTTTTTAAAAAAAAAAAAAAAAAGTTGTGCCTCAATTTCAGACAGATGTCCAAAGCTAATATATGTTTTCTTTCTCCTGCAACAGCCTTGCCTTGAGGGCAACTTTCCCACTAAAAACAGAAGAAGAGATTCAGGAGTTACTCGACGCAGCGGGCTTCAGGCCAAATGTTAACGCTATTATGTACAAGCTGTTATTCTTAGAGGTAAGTTGGAACATTGGATAAGAAGCAGTTCAATATTTACGGGGGGAAACAGATTGGGATATGTAAGATTAGATTTCTAAAACTCAACACTGAGAAAGCATATAAAATAATATTTAGCTTTCTAAGCAGGGGGGGGAAAAAACCCCACAAGATTTTGACCAATCTGTAATAGTGGTTGAGCAAAGAACAATTTCATTAAATAAAATGATATTGCTTCTAATTATTTCACTGTTCAGTTTTCTCACGTCAGCATGTGGGATTTTCCTCCTGGTGGTAAGCCAAAGGGCTCCACATGGTTTAGGAAACCAGCCTATTGTAATTTATTCAGTAAAGCACGGTTAAACAAGCTTTAGTTTTCAAAATAGGTAAACCCAGCTAGTGTGTATTCTTTTAGTGAGAAAAAAACAAAGCTCATTGTAATATCGAGAGAAGGGAGATGCTTAATAGCAACAATGAACTTACACGCTGATAAAGCACTTCCATTCATTTACAGGACGAGGAAGGGAAAACAGAACCCCTAATTACAAAACTGAGGAACCAATATACGATCGAGAAACAGAACTATCTGAATGATCTACGTGCTGAACTAGGAGCCTTGGTGTGAGTATGCGAGTGGGACATGACTCCCACGGGTTTAAGTACATCCAAATTCAGATTCATTGTAATCTCCTTGTCCACTTGCCTTCTGTTTGCATTTACAAGTAGCCTCTGTCTGCATCCAGACTAGGCATTTTTCATCTTTAGACATTTCTAGTTAAAAAAGGAGAAGAAAAAAAAGACAGGGGCAAAATTAGTTCAGTCAATAAGCTAAACATGTAACAAGCAGTCCTTGACATATGATCATAATTGAGCCTAAAATTCCTGTTGGCAAAGCAAAACAGTTAACTGAGTTTTGCTCTATTTTTACGACCTTTCTTGCCACCGTTGCTAAGTGGATCACTGCAGTTGTTAGCAATGCAGCGGTAAAGCGAATCTGGCGTCCCCATGGACTTTGCTTGTCAGAGTTGCAAAAGGAGACCAAAGGACCCCAGGACACTGCAACCGTCATAAATCTGACCCAGTTGTCAAGCATCCAAACTCTGAACACGGGACCATGGTGATGCTGCAACGGTCGTGTGAAAAAAACAGTCCTTTTAAGTCCCTTTTTTCAGTGCCATTGTAACTTTGAACCCTGATTAAACTGATGGGTTGTAAGTTGAGGACTTCCAACATTTTTATATCTCAATTGTCTGGGTTTTTTTGGGTGTGTGTGCAGGAGTGGGATTCAAATTTCTTAACAACCAGTTCTGTGGGCGTGGCTTAATTTGTGGGTGTGGCTTTGTGGTCATGTGACTGGCTGGGCATGGCTTGTATGTAAATATTATATTTATGTAAATATTGAATTTTTTATAAAAAAAGAGAAACTTTTACCCAAAATCAGGCAAAGCAGGCAGGCAGATTGAGTTGCTCACAGAATCACAGTATCACTCAGAGATCTACCATTCTGCAATCTGCTACCTGAGTCCGCACTGAAAAATAGAAGCTTCAGTCCTAAAGGAAGGTTCAGCTCTGTTTTTAGATTAGCTAGAAAGCAAGAAAACCAACGATTTCCTGCTTTCTAGCTAATCTAAACCTCCCAACACAACAGAACAGGTGATGGTCAGGAGGGGAAAAGGAAAAACAGCAACTTAACCAAACGCAGGCAAATTTGATGACATGCATGCCAGGTAAGGAGTGAGTGGACAGGGAGGGGAGGGGCCATCCAGCGGTACAATTTGCCGGTTCTCCGCAATTGCGCAGATTCATAACCAGTTCTAAAGAACTAGTCTGACCAGGTAGAATTCCACCCCTGGGTGCGTGAAGTAAACTTGGAGGAACAAGCAGTTGTCAACTTTAAGTGGAAAATAGAATGCATTCAGAATGCAGGTTCCACAATAAGTTCACGCACCTTGTCTACTTTTTTTCCACCCATGGCTTTTGCTCTTCTTCTTCCCAGAGATGTGAGGCCTGACGACCTGAGGGCAGCTTTCTGCATAATTGACCACGGCTTAACCGAGCAGACCTTGGAATCTTACCTCTCTTACGCCTTCCAAGTCCCCAAAGAGCAGCTGGACCCTGCCGTCTCCGTTCCCATAGAGCTTCTGATGAAAAGGCTTATGACGGGAGATATCCACAGGCAGGGAGCGGCTCAGGGACAGGCCCAGCACGCGGCCCCATCTCACACAACCGAAGAAGCAGATCACTCTGGGATCTGACTCAACCCACTTGCCTCTCCCCCCTCTGAGATTACTTGAAATAATAGGATCTGTTGAGGTCGAACTGAGAACAGAAGCGCAGCTGATAACTGAGCTCCAGGAAGAAAGCTGGGGTCCCCGTTGATTCCTTTAGGCTTAGACAAAACTTAAAAATAATTACAAAACCCACTCTAGGTGCTTTTAAGATGTTTTTGAAAATCCACGCAAAACGTTTCATTTGGAGCATCCCATTTCTCAGGCTGGGTAACTAATTTCCACTCGTGTAGGAAGCATTTAAGGTGAACTTGGCAGAGCTTCAGGTCTGTCTGCAAAAAATAGCAGTATTTCCTTTCTCTGCGCCCATAAATATTCAACCACTGGAACCCATGAAGGAATGATAAAATGACAGGATGTTAAAATAATTTAAACCTTATATGCAATTTCAGAAGTTTTGTGTTTTATTTATCCCTTTTGAACTACCTGCAGCTCAGCTGGGGGCTAGAAAGCGTAGAAAAGTTTACATTACTAACACGGAAACCAGAGCAGCCAAGCAAATGAAGAGGTAGTGAAACGAAATTACAAAGCCAAAAAAACATAACCACTTTTTTCCCCCTGGCATTTCAACGTATTTTTTTCTCTAAACTCCAGTTTGCACTGAAAAAGGAAGGGAAGCTTACCAAATCTTGAAAATTAATGGTTTCCAGATTAGTGATTTAAAAATGCATTGTATATAAACAATGACGTTAAGATGCAATAAACTATTAAATAAACTTCTCCTTATAAGTGTTCCTATGCCTGACATCAAAGGGCTTTGTGCTAGAGGATTCTTCATTCAGTATGTTGCAGAACAACAGATATGAACTTATTAGGGATAAAACAAAAATCATTTTGTCCATTTTTTTAATCCAATGTATACTTTTCCTCCATAGCATGTGAAAGGGACCTGCTGTTATGAGAATAGTTTGTGCTGTTCTTCCAAAGTTACTATGTAAAACTCAGCTGTAAAAATGCATATGTTGGATTCATTTATGTACACAAATCTGTTCATCGGGATAGACATTGCCCGGAATAAGCGTAACTGAATAGCTACATGACTGACATGGATCACCTCTAGTTTGATTTATTGATCTTTACTTAAGAACTGCATCTACTTAGGTTTGGATGTTTATTTATAATCATGAAAGAAAAACAGCTAAAATTACAAAAAGTGTCCAGTATCTTCAGAATACAAGGAAAGGTTTAGTAAAATTGGTATAAGACCACAGGTTTTTGCTTGCTTGAGAACAAGAGTACAGAGAAAATAGTTTTATTCCAAGGTAATACAGAATGTTTTGGGCTGCATTTTTTTTTTTTTTTTTTTTGTACAAAATAGAACTTGCAACCCTGGTACAGACAGAAAAACAAGGTTCCTTCTGTACGCAGTAACTGAGACACAATAAGTGCAATTCAGCTTGTTTCTGAGAAGGTGCCATGCTTAAGTTAAATGCCATGTAAATGATTATGTCTTACGGACAAATCTACATCGGTTCTAGTCCAGAATCTTAGGAGATCATCTTCCTCCACTGCTTGTTTCCAAATGACAAAGGTTCTGTCTCTGGCAACCGAGCAGTTCGGCTTCTCACTTCAGCTTCTGAGGGATCACTTTGTTCCCACTGACGGCGACAGGGATTAGCAGCTTCCTGTACTCCAAGGGCAAGTGTCGCTCGACCAGCACATTTAGAGGCATCTTGTCTGTTATCAGCCCTTGCCTGGATTGTGGAGAAAGGGATCACAAGAGAACAAGACCGAAAGAAGCACGCCTGAGAATCGGGATAGGGCTCGCCTCTTTCCAACAAATCCTATCACATAGCCTAGGCCCCTCCAGTTTGGGCTTTGTAAACTGCCCTGAGGCGACAGGTAGTCCTCGAATTATGCCCACAACGGAGCCCAAAACGTAGGTTGCTATGTTGAGAGATTTTGTTAAGTGGGTTTTGCCCCGTTTTATAACTTTTCTCATCACATTCGCTAACTGAATCACTGCAGTGGTTAAAAGTTAAGTTGCACAGTTGTTAAAAGTGAATCGGGTTTCCCCAGTCATTTCACTTGTCAGGAGGTCGCAAGAGGAGGATCCCCTGACCCCCGGGACACTGCAGCCGTCATAAATATGAGTCAGTTATCAAGCACGTGGCCATGGGGATGCTGCGATGGTCAGAAGGGTGAAAGGTGGACACTTTTTTTCAGTGCCACTGTGTAACTTCGAAAGGTGACAAAATGAACTGTTTTAAGTCGAGGACCACCTGTTGTGGTTCGCTGGTAGCCTGTGCAGACGGCAGCGGAATCGGACAATGGGGAAGAACGGGGACCAGTGAGGGAGTCTGGGGAGGGCTTGGACGAGAGTCCTGCATCCGATACAGAGATAGAACCAGGACCATCTGTGAGTGGGGTGCTGCCTTTGGAGCCTCCAGAATCTGGCAGCAGTGAGGCAGAGGACCCAGGGGAGCCTGTTCCCGGTCTGCGTTTGCGCAGAGCTGCCAGAAGGCAAGAGCAGGTGAAACAAAAAGGGTGGCTCGGGAGTAAGGCTGGGAGGTGATTGCCCCTCCCATCAGGGATAAAGGACAGGCAAAGGTGAAGAAACCTTTGCAGGAAGCAAAGTCGTTCTCTCTGTTCTGATTAAACCTTGAAGACTTTGTACTTCAGTTGGTTTTTTACAGTTCATTTTGCACTTTAGTTGTTGGCAGCAATTCAAAGGAGAGAAAGGTGGGTGCTTATCTCGAGGGACTGTTTGGGACTCATTACGGGCTGGGAATGAACATAATTCCCAGCGTTGAAATGAAACAAGAGTTGTTTGGACTAAGCATGTGCTTATAAGGGTCCCAGGAAGCCTTGGTCAGAACACTACCTCTATTCCTATAGTGTATTCTTTGCTATTAATTACTACAATTCTGCACTCAAAAGTTTTCTCTGCTAGTTTCTCAACAGTTTTTCCAGCTGTTTCTCAAGAAAGCAAAGAGTGGAGAAGCATTACATCTCCTACCCATAATGTTAGCAGCAAGGAAACAGCCGAGAAGAGTCCTCCTCGAGTCTTAAGAACCACCAGCAGCAGCCTGGTGCTCTCCAGATACGCTGTGTTTATGACAGCCAGAATTCCCAAGAACTGGACTGGCTAGGAGTTCTCGCCCCCGGAACATCTGAAGAGCATCGTGGTGGGGAAGCCTCCACGGAAATACCGTCTTCAGTCGATGCAGGGCCCTAGAGACCTTGCAACCCCACCCCCCTTACCGCCTCATCAGGAGTTCCAGGTCAGCCGGCTCTGCTGTCTTCCGTCGAGCATGATTCACGTAGGCTTCCAGGTCGTTGCTCAGATGCTTGAAGTACACATTCACGCTGCAAAAATGGGACGCCTAAAGTTAGCTGGGAGAGTAACGAGCATCGCTCCCTTCTCCGTGGAAGGCAGGTTGCAATGCAAGACCCCCCCCCCCTAAAGAAACCCAAAAGGTCTGATTGGCATTCAAGACCCGTGAGCAGATTAGTCTCTTGGCAAGAAACCCAGGCATGATCACAGAAGGAGGGAGCGCCACACATTTGGGGTTTTTCTCTTCGCTCAGGGGTAGTTGGCAAAGCCTCTTTTCTCTAAAAAGCAGCAACTGTCATGACTCACCACCTATCCACAACTTGCAACGCCTCTTTGGTTACTGGCATCTTGACGTAGTGGGTGAACATTTTTTTCACCAAGGTGCTGGGGAGGGACGGCTCCTGTTTTTCCCGGCGGGCTTTTTTAGCTGGCTTTGGAACCCGTTGAACCAAATTCCGTTTCACCGGCGACCTAAAAAGAAAAATATCAAAAAGACGGTCTAAACCAGTGGTGGCTAACCTTTTTGGGCTCCTGTGCCAAAAATTGTGTGTGTGCTCGCGTGCGTTCACATTCCAGCACCCAGAAGGCAATGCACGCCCCCCCCTGCCGCCCCCTTACTTGCACTGTGCCTCACAACTGATTTTCAGCCCGTTTGAGGCCTTTTTCGGCCTCCCAGAGGCTTGAGGACGGCTTCTGCAGCCTTTGCAGGCCGAAAAATAGGCCCATTTCATCACTATAGGAAGTGACAAAATGGACCTATTTTTCGGCCTGCAAAGGCTGCAGAAGCCTTCCTCAAGCCTCTGGAAGGCTGAAAAAGGCCTCAAATGGGCCGAAAATCAGCTCTGAGGCCCATGTATGCGCAGTGAGGTAAATTTGCCTGCAGCTCGCGCGCCGACACAAATGGCTTTGTGTACCACCTGTGGCACGTGTGCCACAGGTTCGCCATCACGCGTCTAAACAATCGCATAATCTACTGCAGGAAGAGGAAACCCAGGTGCCGCAGAAGGCCACCTCTCAGGTACTTCCAGATCGCATGGCCAACAATCTGGAGAATCCACACATCTTAAACCCTGTATTGGGTCTGAATGCCAGTCACGGGAGGCTGGAGTTCTTTTTCTCTGGCAGTCAAGAGAGGCAAGGCAAAGCATTCCTGGCAACCACACCATCTACTATATTGTAAGCCATTCAAGTCAACTGAAACTACAAGAGGGGTTTTAAGTTCTAAATTTAAGAAATAACGCAGGTAGTTATCGAGTTATCACCACAATTGAGCCCCAAATCTGTGGCTAAGTGAAACATCTGTTAAGTGAGTTTGCCCCATTTTACCAGTTTTCTTGCCATGGTTGTTAAGTGAATCCTTGCATTTGTTAGTAGAAATAGCACTTAGACTTATATACTGCTTTACAATGTTTTATAGCCCTCTCTAAGCGATTTACAGAGTCAACCTATTGCCCCCAACAATCTGGGCCCTCATTTTACCCACCTCGGAAGGATGGCAGGCTGAGTCAACCTGGAGCCTGGTGGGATTTGAACTGCCAAATTGCAGGCAGCCGGCAGGCAGGCAGAAGCAGCCTGCAGCACTGCACTCTAATCATCGCTCATAAGCCACAGTGGGGCATTCGTTAAGTTAGTCACACGGCTATGAATTGAATTTGGCTTTCCCACTGACTTTGCATGTCAGAAGTTTGCAAAATGGGGATTGTGTGACTCTGGGGTACTGCGGCCGTCATAAAGCACTTGCCAAGCGTCTTTGAATTTAGAGATGTGACCATGGTTGTAAGTGTGAAAAACAGTCAGAAGTCACTTTTTTCACTGCCGTTGTAACTTTGAACCAGGCACTAAATGAACTGTTGTAAGTGGAGGTCTGCCTCTAAATACAGAGTGGTCAGGGGGCTAGAGTCCCATCTCCCTAAAACTGCATACATACCCAGAAGCCACTTCTTTCGATACACGTGGGCTGGACAGCAGTGGTGTACAGTGAAAAGCTTTAGTGCGGACAAAGGCTGGTGTACTGCCAGTTGGTTCTGAGAGAGAAAGAAAGGTGGGATCTCATGTCATTTCCCCAAAACACATGACACTTCCAGGGTGGGGCTTCCATCTCATTTACAGATAACCCCAAAATGACTACAGGTACCCCTCAACTGACAACTACAATCAAGTCCAAAATTTCTTGCTAAGTGAGGCATTCGTTCCGTGAATTTTGCCCCGTTTTATGGCCTTTCTTGCCACAGCTGTTAAGTGAACGGCTGCAGATGTTAAGTTAGTAAACAGAGTTGTTAAGTGGATCTGGCTTCTGGATTGACTTGGCTTGCAAAAGAGGAGCACAGGAGCCCAGGACACTGCAACCGTCATAAATAGGAGTCAGTTGCCAAGAAGTCTAAATTTCAATCACATGACCGTGAGGATGCGGCAACTGTTGTTAAGTGTGGAAAAACGGTCACAAGTCTCTTTTTTAGTGCCACTGTAAGTCAAGGATTATCTGTAAAGGACTGGATTTTATAGCATTCACATTAAAATCACTTGCTTTATTAAACTTAGAAAGAAGCCTGCTGGAGAAACCCAAATGATATGAGGAATAATGTGGGAAGAAGTCACTTTCTGAGGCCCAACCATGGCAGCCTTAAAAGAATGAAGCTCTCAACATAGGGAACTGATTTAGGGTAAGATTAATTTCTAAATTGACTCTGACGTCCCCCAAGATCAATTTCTTATAGTAATCAATTTGAAATGTATCTAATAAGCTTGGCTCCAGCTGTGCTTTAGCACTCTACAACTTGTCAGCATCCAGAGTGGCTTTTATGCAAGATGGATGGCTATACACAAATGTGATGAAATAAATCAGCTCACCAACATCCTCAGATTCTGACATCTCCTCGACTTCTGTATTGTCTTCAGCTTCAAACTCCAGAATCTGTTCAGTTTCCACATTCATTTCATTTGTTCTATTTCTATCACCTGTTTGTGGATTTGTTCTATCTCTCATTGCCTTAA